CATCCCTAGTCAGTGCTACTCAAGAGATGGGAAAACACACAATTAACAGAGATATAGTAGAACAGAATAATTCATAAGAACGACGTTATAGCATCTAAAAAGCATTATGAGTAAGTTTCCCTTCTCTTTTCACTGCAGCTAGTGGCACATTCCTTACTATGGATCCCTTTAAGGTACCCCTACGGCAACCAAAAGCTGCAGATTCGAAACAAAAAAAACAACAAATGCACAAAATTTGCACAACCAAACAGTTTTTACAACAAATGCATATATACATATCAGAACAATATTGATTTCAAAATGCAACACAAATTTGACCAAAAGAAAAGTAATCTCTTACCAGATTTTGCCAGTAATGATACTCGGCAGTACAATTTTGCTTTCTCCACGCATCCAGATCAAAGAAGTTCATTCCATAAGCCCACGCGCACGCATTAGGATTAAACTTCTCCTTAATCAGAGGATGTGAGAAATTCATGTACTGTGCATAACGATGGAAAGACCCAAAACATGTCTCAACCGCCCCATTCACCTTCCCATCCATATCAATCCTCCACAGACCAGTTAAATCCTTCTGAACCACTATATCGTCATCCAAAAATAGAATCCTATGCAATTTCGGGTACATTTCAGGCAAATAAAACCTCAAGTGGTTCAATATGGACAAATACTTGGGGTTCCTGAACTTCATGTTTGTTGCGTCTTTGGTTGCATTCTCGAGCTTATTCTCAAAGTAAAATGATTGCAACTTTGCGTTTTCCAATTGCTTTAACACCGGCACATATGAAGAATTCAAAAACTTATAATCCTCCACAGCCTTCACTTCAACATGTGACCCATTATAGTCCTTGCTTTTAAACATAACCTGCATTGCTCCAAGGTTCATCTTATCAGTCACGACATGGAAGACATGTTTCCATGGCTCCTTGGCGTTCTTCACCGCCGAATTCACCACCACCGACGCTGCAATCACGTTATCCGAAAATATAGCATAATGGTACAGATTGGGGTCCTCAATTTCCGGGGGAATCGGCTTCCCTTCATCAGTGTACTTCTCCGGATGCGCAATTCGCTCCTCCATCAGCCGCATTGCGACGCAATGCAAGCTCTTCGGGATCGACTTCGCAGCAATCAAGCTCGAGAAAGCCCCTTGCTTCTTAGCCTTCGTCAGCTGCTCATTCACTTGGAAAATGGTGTCCTTCAGCTTCTGAATCTTGAGCTGGTTATCGAAAGACTCTTTCGCTTCGGCGATTACTTGTCTAGTAACTTTGATTCGCTCTTTCACTTCTTTCTCGAACTGCCGCAGCACCGATTCGTCAATGTTGAGACCGTCTGATTCGAACAGAGCGCGATAGGCGGGCTTGTTCATGAGATCCCAGTAGTTTCGGGAGAGATCAGCGAAGACCCGAACCAGCTTCGAGTTCTCAAGCTTCAGCTTCCGCGCATAGCTCGCGTACGCTAGGGCTAGCGTCCGATGATCGTCCGCCTGCTTCCGGATCTGGTCCAGTCGGGGCTTCAGTGGGTCCGATTTCAGGGCTAGTACGGTCCTTCTCGTCGATCCAAATCCACCAAACGAACCGGAATCCAAACCCTAATTCACAATTACCATCAAAATATAAAAAATTGCTCTTATTTTTATTGGAAATTTTGATACTTTGGTACTAAATCCAGTTCCAGCGCGGGAACGAAAACCGAAAATCAAAAAACGATTAGATTAGATCGGGAAATACAAATCATGAACTTCAAACTCCATTGAAGCAGCGAGAGTGTGAAAGAACAGTAGAGAAACACTTACCGAGTCGCCGACATCGGAGGAGTCGGTTCGGGAAGCGAAGACGAAGGAGAGCGAAAAGACGAAGACGACGGCGACTGCAATGGCCATGGCAAGCACTCTGAACGAGGCGACGGAGCTCCGCGCGGCTCCTCCTCTACCGCTGCCGGAGATTCGAAGGTTCCCCATTCTTCGAGTTGTTGCTTCTCCGTGAGGTTGTCTCACTCACTCAGACTCAGTGTCGGTCTCGGACTCGGAGTCTGACATTAACTTTTTGATTCTTTGTTTCTGTTAATGGTTAACTGTAAAACGCGGATTGGCGAGTGCCAATTGGCGGTGCTCATTAAAACCTAATCATGTGGGCCCCATGTAATTGACTTTTTCACTTGTTGGTTTAGTCGGATTTGGGTGCTTATTAATTAGTTAACTACGCATTATCTCCGGAGTTGCGTAATGTTAACTCAAGTGGAATTCACCCAATTTTCTACCTTCCTTTATTAATCTACCACATAATACGCTGTTTAATAATTGTTAATTAACATGAGTTATTGCTAAATAAAAAAAAAAAAACAAAACAAAACATAGCCCATCTCCAAAGAAAATTTAAAAAAAATAAGATAGACTTATAACAATAATAAATGATTTACAATCTACTCCAATTGAGATGTTAAAATTGACATAGAGAAGAAGGCTGAACTTCAAGCGTCAAAATTGATGCCATGAAGCAATGGCGTCAAATAAGTTTTTTGTTATCTCCAAAGGCATTCAACTTACTTCACCTTAAATGCCTATCATATTTAAGTGTTTTTTATTTTTTTATATTTTTAACTATCAACAGCCCAACTTTTATTATTTTTGTTTGAAAAAAAAAAAGAAATGAAGCAATAAATTTTGGCACATCGGGTGGAAGGAAAATATTGGCAATATGTCAAATTGCCAAGTCAACCATCAAACTGAAATTTGATGTTTTGAATTTGACATCTCTTTTAGAGATGCTCTTAACATTCATTGTTCACTCCACATGAATTGCTATGTTGTATAAAAGTCTTCAAGCGTGACCATCGTGTAGTATTATTAATTTATTTTCGTTAATTATTTTGACGTGAATTAATAATATTACTAATTCCATTCATGTTTGGCCATTCACAACTCAAAGTGGTAGATTGGTTCTTGTCTTAGTCTTAATGGGACTCTCAATCACAACAACGTCAAGGTATAAGCTATTATAAAAGTTGCAATCTTGAAGGGTATCATATACATTGTGACATTCATACCATTATGATTTTTTTTTTTTTTTTGGATCTGATAGGTGGATCACGTCACTCATAGGCCACACATAAAATGGGACCTCGTGTATTGTCTTAGACATTCGCTTGTTAGTTCAACTCCCAATACAAAAATTCCTTCTTTATATGTGTGTTTGGATAACTGACGTGACCCATCGAATCGAGAGATTTTTTCTAGTACTAGGTATTCAAGCGGTAGTCCACCTATTATAATACAAGTCAAGAAAATTCCTCCACTTATTTTGTGACATGTGAAATATCTGTTTGAATATCGGGCAAAATTTCTGTATTGAATCAAAGCAATTTTGCATGCCATTGCAGTTGGGGGCACAAAACCCTACCTTGTTATATTGCAAACAATTAAAGCATAGCATGTGACTTTTTATAACCCAAGGGGACTCATCATTAAAAGATCATCCTCCTAACTCCATTATTTTGAAAACCAAGGCCAGAGAAATATCAAAGAACCTCTATGCTCTCACTATATGTGCTAGATGGTACGTAAATAATGAATGACCCAAAGTCATTGAAATAAAACCACTAGCTAAAGTTGTGCGGGTAGAAAGGTTGCTCTTTTGTGATGGAAATGTCACAAATTCAAGTTATGAAAACACCCTTTTTAGAGCATCCCCAGTGAAGGGCTCTATATGGGGCTGAAAAAAGTGGTGGATATAGCCCATTTTAGAGCTCCGAAGAATCTTTGGGGTTTTATTAAAGAATCTCTCCCAATGGGGGGCTATATTTTTCAGGCTCTATATGGGGCTATATATATTTATTTATGTAGTAATTTGATTAAGCGATGATTTTTTTTTTGTGTGTTAGTTTTTCTTAGGTTGATTTTTGGATGTGCTGTCTTATATTTTTATATGAGCCCTTCAACCTAAAAAGTTCAAATTGTGATAAAGTTAGATTTCATCACTTATGAATCGTTCGTTAAATTAGATTCTCTTATCTCAATCTCATCCGTTGAAAGAAACAAACTTCCACTTTGCCCTTTAAAATTATTTGATTTTCACATATAATACAACAATTTACCTAGCACCAATTGGTAAATTAGTATCATACAATTTTGAAGAAAAAAAAGTATTTGAAAATTTCACCCATCAATGCCTATGAACGTTAAATCAATTTGAAATTTTCATTCTTATGGAATTTAAAACAATCATTAATTAGTGAAATTACAAGAAAAATAAGTAAGAAAAAGAATTAAAAAATAATAATAAAAGGAGATTCACAAGTGGATGAAGAGTGATAGAATTTTGCTTACATTGGTTGCTACTTTTTTTGTGGGACCCACTGTTTTTTTTGGGCTAGATGTAGCCCGATTTTATGTTACCCAAGAAAGGAAGTTGCTAGCCCCAGTAGTGGATCTAACCCTATTTTCCGGCTCATTATGGATGAAATTTCTCGCTAAGGCTAGAAATGTGGTAGCCTCATAGAGGATAAAGCCCCCATTGGGATGCTCTTATTAAGTAAGAGAGTAAGACTGTGTACGATAGACGTCACCCCCCCCACCCTCACAAAGCAGGAATCTTTGTTGGCTTGGGGTTGCTTTTTTTAAAGTCGGGCATACACCAACCCTAAATTGTACACGATGAGTTGACTTCTTATGTAACTTTATATAGCAAATAAATTGGTAACTAGAAAACTTGATTAAAAAGGATGAGATAAGAAAGAGATAGATGGAAATAGAGGAACAATCTGATTTTATAGTTAATTTAAGCACTAGATCATGAAACACAAAACATATTTACTCGTGATACTCTTACTCAAGTACACACAAAAATTACCACTTAATTTAACATTAACCAAAGTAAATTTAGAAATCTTTTTTTTTTTTTTTTTGACAAAACGAAATATATTCTAAACTGCTCTCTAATTTAGCAGAAAGAAGATTTGAACTTAGAGACGAGAGGCCGATTCACTGCCCTGACCTACTGGTATCAATGGTGCCCCTTCTTGCCATGCTTGGTGACATGGTGTAACCATCCAAACCCTTTTAGTGCCTTGGAAAACTTGACAAGATTAGGCCTTCCCATCCCCAAATTCATCTTCCCAGCTGAGAATTTCAATGCCTGCAAGCAACACAATTGCCCATCAAACTCTTCCTCTTCACCCTCGTTGCTTTCAGCTTTCCCATCTTTCCCCTTCTTTGACTTGCTTTTTTTACCTTTCACCACTTTTAATGATTCTGTCTCATCATATGTCTCCCAAAGCATGTCCATCCCTTCTCCTCCTCCTCCTCCTCCTCCATCCACATTTTGATGCCTCTCCTCAAAAAGCTTGCATGCCAGTGTCCTTCTCCACTCTTTCTCTTTCCTCATTGATCCAAAACTTCCAAGATTTGGACTCATGTTGTAGTAACATTCTCCAACATTTGCTCCAAGGGTTTGGGGATTTAACCTGGATTCCCAAAGATTTGCTCCAAGGGTTTGGGAATTTACCCTGGATAATTTGGAATTTAACTCACCTCCATCACCCAAATAATCCTTGGATTCTCCTCTTCTCATAAACCTTTTTTCTTTTCCTTCTTGTTCTTCAACTTTCTTGGACTCTGTGCTTGGTGGTGGCTTGATCACTTCTTCCTCTTCCTTTTTGCACAAGTTTTCTGGCCAATTCTCTTCTTCTTCTTCTACGAATGCCTCAGCTGGGATTTCGAACTTGTCGTCGAAAACATCACTTGCAGCATCAGAAACATCAGAAGCACAATTAGCTTCATGACTAGACACATCTTCAACTTGTGCTTCAAAGAGTTGTGAGCAATTTTTCTCAGCTGGGGTCTCGTTGATTTCGAACGTGGACGTGTCAAACACAATTCTATACGCTTCGAGCTCCACGGAAGACCGGAATTCTTCATGATCATGATCACGATCACCGCCATCACTATCATCAACTCTAAACTTGTGCAAACCTTCCAAAACAGTTTGGTACGCAGTGACAAGACAACCCAATTTGACTTTCGACGATTTGGAATCAGCAACGTCGTGTTGGACCGTTAGATAAGCAACCACAAGAAGAGCTGTGGTGATGAAAAGAGGAGACAGAAAAGAAAGGAGCTTGAGGAGGTAGGGTGAGAAAAATATGAAGTAGGAGAAGTAAAGAGGGTGCGACAAAATGCAGAAACAAAGATTGAACAAGTCAGCGAGAAGAAGACTAGAGATTTTGATTTTCTTGGACGTCTTTGGTTGGAAAGAAAATTCTGACATTTTCTTAAGAGATGAAAGAAAATTTGAGAAGGATGGATGGATGGATAGTGATATGGTGAACCAGAAGGGAAAGGTTTTGTGTGGTTTGTTGGGGATAGAGAGAGAGAGCGAGAGAGAGAGAGTGAATGAGATTGGAAGTGAGAGCGGCGTGAGTAAAGGAAATAGACTGGGAATTAATATATGAAGATTACGAAAGTGAGAGTGATAGATTAACCAATTAAAAAGTAACTTTAGATTAATCAAAAGAAGTAAAGAAAGAAGAACATGTCTGGAAACTTTCTTTTGCTTTTCTTTCCCATCAACAACCACCCAATTATGTGTGCCGTTTGGATGTAATGCGACGGAGATCAAATTTTGTAAATCATATAACGTGGTTATTAATGATTAAATTATTATTTAAATATTAATTAACGTGCTTATTTTTTATTGATACCACATCGTATAACTTATAAAATTTGATTTTACTAACATTATTCTTTCTAATTTGGATTTACCTGACTCCCTAACTCACTCTCCCTTCTGAATTACATTAGTGGAATCCCATCAATGAAATGTAATTACTAATTATTCACATACAAAAGTAGTTATATTGGCATGGATTACGAACTCGTTTAGATGTGCTTTTAAAATGACTAATTGCATTTTTGGTGAAAATGTTTTTTAAACCAATCCTTAATAAAAATGCAAGTAAATTTTAGAAAATCACTTAAAGTGATTTCTGCAAGAAACACCAGTTATGTGCTTCTTTCATAAAGGCACTTTAAGTGCTTTTGGAACCAAAAAACATTTTATCTAAAAGCGTTTTCAATCATTTTAAAAGCACATTCAAACGAGCCCTACACTTGTGTTTACTCCAGGTTATATTCACCTCATTGTTTGGTTGTGATTAATGCATTTTTTTTTATTAAAGATTGTTTAGTTATTTAAATTTATCGAGTGAACGAATAGTTTTGGTGACTAGTAACACTTTTAGGATGAATTGTTCAGTTAATTGATGCACATGGACGACTTAAAAATCTCCAACTAGATTGAATTTTTTTTATTGCAAATATGGTCCTTAAATGATGATTAAGAAAATAAACAAATATGCTTGCGACATTTGTATGGTGAAAACAAATTAATCATAACTGAGTGAACAAGAAAATGCATCAATTCAAAGGGTGGAGGCAAGTATCGTCCGGAATGTAGGATGGAGTATTTGAATTTTGTACAAAATTACATAGCTACAATAACTACTCCTTTAACTTACGACGGCCCAATAATAATTTTGGCAATGAAAACCCAGTGGATGTCATCTTAAATATGAGCAGTATTTCAGATCATGAATGGATGTAACCTACCATATATTTAGTCACTGATTCGAATTCTGTCGGTTTAATTATATAATACAGTTTACAAACCATTAACCACTTAGGGCTAAGTGTTGAATTTTATCACAAAAGACTTTTAATAACAGATCATACATTGCATTTTATTTTTCTCAATTTTCAGATGTGAGACTTATATTCAACTGTAACAGATCATATGGTCCAGGCATCATATATAAATGTTATTTACAGCAACTTCTATGAGAGAAGCTAAACTTCAATGGAACCTAAATTTTCGTACTAACCATTCTGAACTCCACCTTTGCTTGCACCTTCGGATACAAAATAAATAAAAACGAAGCTTTATTAGCAACTTTGCCCTGATAATTCCAAGATATTTTTTAGTGTGTTCGGAATATAGGACGATACGTCACATGTTATTATACAATTAGTGGACACTTAAAAATATAAAATAAAAAATAAAAAAACTTCCCTCTAATTATAAAATGACATATGGTATATCACCTTGTGTTCCGAATACACTAAAAAATTTCCCGATAACATCGGGGGAATATCGGTTAGTTATGGAATGGTCGAGTATAAGAACTCATTAAGGCTATTTAATCATTATTACTACAGCATAATTAGCATCCTATGCACTATGTACGACTTCCTACTTCTCCACAAGTTGCACCTATCATCGCCAGCTTTTTTCTTTTTCTTTGAAACCAAGTTACTGAAGAAGTCAATAATCGAATGGGAGACATGGGACACGATGTAAATAAAAGATGATGAAACAAATGTGTGGGAGCAACAATTAACATCCACAAAATGAAAGCAAACCTATAAGGCACAAGTAGATCGTGTTGTTGTGGTATTTATGTTAATAATACGATGTTGCGTAATAAAAATTATACATTTGTATTATTGACATAAAATGTCATTGTATCAGTGTAACCATATTATGTAAGTTTTTCTTTTTAAAAAGCAAGAAGAAGAACTAAAATCAAATATGTAAGGCACGAGTAAATCATGTTGTTGTGGCGTTCTATGTCAAAAGTACAATGTTGTGTGAATAAACATTATATATATTTATGTATCATGAATATAAAACGTCACTGTAACAGTGTATCCATAACATATATGTTTTTCTTCTTAAAAGGCTAAGAAGAAGAAGAAGAAACATAAGGTGTGGATTGAGGTTAATTAGGTGCACATGGGAAGTGTACTCATTGTCACTCGAGTACCCGCCATGCAATTGCATCCTTGGTCCCTGGCTTTTTCACACCTATATAGGACCCATCTAATTGTCTCTCGTCACTCTCCTAGCTAAAGCATGAATCAAAGGGCACCGACAGTCATTTGGCAGATTTATTCTTTCGTATGTTTGACTACTGAATCAAGAATTCACTTGTAGGGTTTTCTACAGGTAGTGTATGAGAAGTGTGGATGCAAATTTATTTCTTCTTGATCTTGGATAAAATTGCATTTACAAAATAAATAGAGAAATTTTATTTAAACCTAACTATCTTATCTTCAAACTCAACTTAAATATTTTTGCCATTAAATTCTCCATTTTGCCCCGGCGTTATTTAGAAAGTAAAAATAAATTAAAAGAACATGAACCCACATATCTGCCCACCACTTTTCAATGTCTTCTTCACTGACGTCAGCGTCTCTTAACCACCTCCTCTTTCGTATTATCTCCCTCCTCATTTGTCCTTCTCCCTCCTCTATTTCTCATGCTTTTCAACCATAACACCGGCATCGGAGGCCTACAAGCATAGTCGAAGCTACGTGAGGGCGAGGAGTGGTGGCCGCCCCTCTCTTAACCGGAAAACATGCCTAGGATCGCTTTGATTGAAGCTTGCACAGGTGGTGTGTCGTGGTAGTCCTTAGCTGAGAAGGAGCTCATTCTTGCAACTTCCATGTTAGGGCGTTTAGCATACGTCGTCGAGTCTGTACAAATGGAAACCAAAAGCCGTATGTCGACGAAGGTAGTGCTTCTGCTGCCGTTCAACTACTTAAAGCTATGTTTGCCACAACTCATTCAAACAGTCAGAGACGTGAAGATCAAGAGCAAAAAGCCCAAGCACAGTGCTTGATAATGCAGAGGAGAAGCAGATTGAGAAAACCCAGGTGTAGAACCTCCTCTCTAGTTACAAGTTTCCGAGTGGTACAGAGTAGGCAATGCTGAGAAGCACAAATGTCTATGGCCGAGAAGGGATGGCGGAGTCGTTGACGAGGAAGGCGTTGAGCCGAAGAGGGATCATTTATCTTGTATGGACAGTTCGAAGTCAAAACTTGTGGAAACTGAATGGTGTGCCATATAAGGCGATTGTGATGCTAAAAGAATTTGAAATGAAGTTGCCATGGAGAATTGCTGGTGAATCTTCCGTGGGGTTTGTGGTGGAAGAGAACCACTAGGTGTGGAAAGAGATTTCAGTTTGTTTATTTGTTTTTGCAGTTTTAATTTAAGGGTGAATTAGGAATTTTAAGAAAATATTTTTTGTATTGGGTGTGGAAAGAGGTTGAATGGGTTCCAATACAATTTCCCAAACAAATAACATCTTAGGTCAAAGCCAAGAGTCTCACGCCCTCACGATGAATTGGGGGAGGGGGCTTTGGCCGAAGAACCTCCGATGCCAAAGTTAGAATTTTGAGGGAAAATTGTTTGAAGAATTTAGAGAATTTAGCAAGAAAATTATAATTGAGTTTTGGAGAATGAGGGGGTTTATATAAGGGAGTGGCCGGCCACCTTGGGAAGAGATGGACCGGCCACTTGGATGTTTTGTGGGTCAGGTTCACGATTTGTGTTTAATTGGCTAATTAATTGAATAATTAATCAATTAATTTAGCTAATTAATATAATAAAAAATGAATGATTTAGGGGTTACCTTGTGGAGAAGATATGATGAGGGATTGATGAATAAGTTATAAATAAATACCTATTTGGGCACTTTTGACTTGATTGGAGGATGATTGTCCAATGTTCGCGCGTAGGAATCCCGGTGTGCCTCAAGGGTAATTTTGTCCTTTTTACCCAAAAATTCACGTGTCATCTCTTGATTATTTTTGGCTCCACAAATGCCCCCATGCATGTTAGGCTGCTCGCAAAAAAGGGCAACAGGTGTAGAGATTTTCTTGCTTTAGGAAACTTAAGTTTCCTATCTTGACATAGATTCCCTCTTTAATAGGAAATTAGATCATTTTAGAAGGGGAAAAAAATTTCTCTCAAACTCTATTTAAGTCCACCTTAAGTGGGTTATTAAATCAACTTTGGAGAGCGATTTATTCTACCCTACAAGAGAGAGAGAGAGAGAGAGAAAGAGCTTAGAGGATATTTGTTCCCCCTCCTCTAGCAGTCTTCTACATCTTGCCCGTGCAAAGGACCGTCTTTCATTGCTTGCTTCATCTTCTCGCTGCTTCTAGGTAAGAAAAAATTAATTTTCTTGTCTTCCTAATTTTTGGGAAGCCTCGGGGACTTGAAATTTGGCCTAACGGGGGTCAAGGATGTGAAAAAAAATAAGTAAGAGGAAGCCTCGGCACTGTTGTTGTGGGTGGTGAGTCATGAAGGCGGCTCGGCTTGACTTGGGCTGAGGGTTAGTGCGGCTGGCGTGGGCTAGCTTGGGCAATGAGGCCTGCAGGTGAAAGATGGTAAGAGATGCAGGGCCTTTGGGCTGAAAGGAAGAA